TTTTGTTTGAGCAGTGATATAATACTCCTCAACCTGCCTCAAATGGTTCAAAAATCTATATGCTGCCCCATCTCTCCTTTCCTTCCAAGAATTTCTTTACTATTCCTTATAACCTTTGGGGCAGCAATGATATGACACAATGACACCACCCAAGTTTGAAAAACCTGACAGATTACATGCAGAAAACATTCTTAACTGTGTTGAACTTTAAAAGCGCTGATTTTGGTGATAAGAAAGAAGAAGCTGGGTTGCGGACAAATATGGCCAGGTAAAGTCAAGAAGAGATCAAGAGAATATTTAAAAAGAATCATAAGCGTAAATCATAAAATAAAACATCAGGACAACTTACATCGGTCTTTCCTAGAGAGATCTGTTGCTTCCTTGAGCGTATCCACTACCAACGTATCGAATACAGTCGAATAAAACACTTTTCGCAACCGCGTGTCCGGTATGTCAATGAGATCGAATAAGCGAGGAGCAGGGCTAAACGATGAAACTGGCTGACACAATCTCGAACATGAAAAGAAACACTTACAACTTCTTTTTGGTATCCATGCTGTCCCTGAACTCGTTAGTTTTATCCAGTATAATAAAGTTAGTCCGACCAAGATTTCTCTGAACACTTCATTCAGCGCGTCTATATCAGCCTGTCTAAAAACTCACCTTTACAAGGTAGTCAATAGCTTCATGACCATCATTCGTAGTTTCTACAACATATGAATCTAAAGCAGCAGTAGTTGTGGAGATAGCAGCGTCATATTTCTTGTCAATGGTGCCTAGATCACCCTGAACACATAGATGGTAAACTGTAGGGAGATTCGATTAACATATATGTATCTACCAGTCTGCCAATAAGTCCCTTCAGCAATCCTTCAGCTTTCGCCTTGGCCAGTGCCTTTTGACGCTCGGTTCCAGCTATCCCAGAAGATACCAACTGCTTGTCTTCAGAAACTTTGGTGCGAAGAACATTGACCTAGATACGGCACATGTCAGATTAAGAAGAAAATCACTATCGCAATATATGGGTCACACAAGTATAGATTTTTACGATAGATATCGAATAATGAAGAAAGTCACCTCCTCCATGAGTTTATCTTCCTTTTCTTTGATGAGTGGGAGCGAAGCCCTGGCTTGCGCCAAATCATTTTGCACTGCCGGCAACGAGACTTTCAGCTCATTCATTTCACTAAAAGAAAACAAGTGAATGTCTATAAAGTCACAAATACAGGAACGAAAAGCGCGAAACAATGACAGGCCTCGTTTTCTTCTCTAGATCTTCTTTCCAAGTACTGAGATTGTTTTGAAAGTCAGTCAGTCGTTTCCGTAACTTGGTTTCCTCATGCGTCATATTCTTCAACGCCTCTT